TGCAGTTACCAAGATAAAACGTCTCCAATTTGCACAGGAACACAAGGATTGGACAGCTGAGCATTGGAAAAAAGTCATGTGGTCCAATGAATCACGTTTCCAGTTGCCTCATGCAGATGGCAGAGTGAGAATTTGGCAGAAACAGCATGAAAGCATGCATCCCACATGCATGAGTACAACCCTTCAAGCTGGTGGGGGCAGTGTTATGGTTTGGGGCATGTTTTCCTGGCATGATTTTGGCCCTTTAATTCTTGTGGAACAACGTCTGAATAGCACAACATACCTAAGTACCATTGCCGATCAAGTTCATCCTATCATGTTGATGGCATATCCCAATGGAGATGGCTTCTTCCAACAAGACAATGCGCCATACCACGGTGCTTGTATTGTGCACGAGTGGTTTCGAGAACATGAGGGAGACTTTACTTTGCTTAGGTGGCCCCGACCAGATCTCAATCGAATTGAGCATTTGTGGGACAAAGTTAAAAGAGCCATCAGGCAGCTGATTACACAACCATCAAATCTCACAGAACTGGACAGTGCTATTCATCAGGCATGGTGTCAGATTCCTCGCATCACCTTTCAACATCTCATGGAGTCAATGCCAAGAAGAATCGCTGCAGTATTGAAGGCAAAAGGTGGCCCAACGAAATACTGATGGGGTGGTCATAATAATCTGGCCACTCAGTGTATATATAAGAGCCTAAGTGACCGTTATGACCAGACAACCAGACAACTGGCCGGTAGCTATGATGTGCACTAATCACCAGGGGCCATACGCTCAGTGCACTCCCACAGCCAACCTCCTACAGCTGGCCAACCTCCCATGGTCCCTCCCTTTGGCTGGCCCGATCTCCGGCCAGGTCGAGGGACCCCCCACCTGTGCATGAATTTGTGCACCGGGCCTCTAGTAGACAAAATCTTATGGGACAAGGAACATTACTTGCTGGTGACTGCAGAAAGCCTTCTGATAGTTTCAAATAAGGCGGGCCATGAAATCAGGGTTAAGCTAGTTTAGCATTTACAAATCTCAGTCCATTGCTCAGATATGAAAGCACTATATTTTTCCTGAGAACTCAATTTAATTTATATGTTCAACCTCTCTTCATCAGAATGGCAAATACTTAATCTCAGTCAAATTTTCCCTAACCTTCACCCTTTTTCCAGGGTCTGCTTACATTCTGAGGTTACATAATAGTAAATGGGGGAGTTATGGGAAGAGGATGTTTGGTGTTATTGGTGCCCTGTATTCTTAGACATCTAATCCTTCTGGCCACAGTGTTTGGTCATATATGTCACCTTGGGGTCATCTTGTGTCCATGTCAGTGTTCTTTTAGCATAACAGCTCTCTCTGATGCAGGAGTGATTGTCTTAGAAACATGGATATAATTCTACTTTCCACACAAGGTAAGAGTTGGGGAATTTTGTTAGAAAGATAGAGTTCCATGTGGCTGATGCACATTATACAGCAATGATATGTATGAGTCACCCCTGGGGACATGGGAATCATCTCTTGTGTTAATGTAGATGGTGAAAACCTGTGAGGAGCTGAAGATGGGGATGCTTAACTCCATTGTGCAACCAGTTCATGTTTGGGGTCTTACCACCTCCCTGGACTTTGCCTGCTCATGGTGGCACAGATTCTTCTCACTCATGGAATCCAAAAACCTACCCACAGGTGTTTGTCTCTGGGATACTGCAAAGGCATCCCCTCCCTCCCTATCCCTTCAGCATCAATAGATCAACTCTTATTCCCCAACACCCCCATCTCACTCCCTATTCCTAAATTGGAATTGATTTCTACAAAGTATGGAAGAATTCCTTTTATATACCTTCTACCCATCCAAATTTTTTATCTATATCTTAAAACCTTTCACTCCTCTAATATCCTTATTAATGCTTTCTTTTGAGATGTCTCTTTTCTGGGCAGTGAACACTAGCAGTCTGGCTGTTTGAATGAAGGGGAAGGGCAGAGGATTAAAAGAAATATGGAAATATGAGAAGAGAATGTGGGGGAGGACATGCTGGACATAAAGAATATCATGGATAATAAATTTAATTGACATAAAGAGGCAAGAAACTGAGCTAAAGAGTTTGAGTTTTCATCTGTATACCATGGTCAGTCATTGAAGATATTTTGTTTTTATTTTAGATAATCAGAGTAGAGACAGGATATAAATGACAATACAGCCAATTAGCAAATATTTAAACCTTTGATGTTAAAAAAGAAACATAAGATTTAGAGATGGAATGAAAATTTTTTTAATGTCAAGAGACGAGTTATTAAGTCAGACACAGAGTATAAGACTCACAACTCAATCCTTTTATTTTCTTTAAAGTCATAGATCTATGTGGGCATTAGACATAATGAACACAAGGCTCATCCTGAAGATGCTAGTGGGGCAAATGTAGGACTCTTCTCAAAATGCTCCACATATGACCCTGTTCCTCCCTTCCCCATAATAGTCTAGAGCAAATGTGTCCCCTGGAACTCTCTGTGGTAATGAAAATTCTCTATATCTATGCTGTCCAATACAGTAGCCAATTGCCACATATGACTATTAGGTACTAGAAATATAACTAATGTGACTGAGCATCTTAATTTTTACCTTTATGTTATTTTAATTAATTTAAATTTCCATAGCTTCCGGTGGCTTATGGCTACTATATTGGAAAGCACAGATCAAAGGTGTCTACATTTATCTATAAAACTTACCAACAAGCTTCTTAGCAGAACAATAATAAATGTTAGGGCTAGAATTGACATTAGAATCAATTTTTGGTAAAGGAATTCCCATCATACTTTGGGGAATGGAAGAGAAATCTAGAGAAGATAAGTGAAAAACCCAGGGTCCCTTGGCTACATTTCTAGAAGTGGCAGAATCAAGACCGGAAGCTACGTGACTGCACAGAGTTCTTTTGTGTTTCGCAGTCAGACTCAACTACATGAAAGTTGAGTCCGACTGAGTCACCTCAGTTCTTTTTTTAAATTTTTTTTATTGCCTTAGAGAGAGAGGAAGAGAGAGGGGAAGAGAGATAGACACGTCAATAAGAGAAGAACATTATTGATCGGCTGCCTCCTGCTTGCACCCTACTGGGGATCAAGCCCACAATCTGGGCATGTGCCCTGACTGGGAATCAAACCCTGACCTCTTCGTTCCTGGATTGATGCTCATCCACTGAGCCACAACAGCTGGGCACCCCCCAGTTCTTTGTAACCCATGCTTTACCTTCAGAAATAGCTTTAAGGATTACTAATAGGTGAAAATAACTCCTACCTCATAGGATTCTTAGGGGAATTCAATTTAAAAATGCCTACAGAACACTTATCCCAGTGCCTCACAGAAAGGGAGCATTCAGAAGTGGCAATTGTTGGAGGTGGTGAATATCCTTTGTACTAAAGTGACTAAACCAGGGGTGGGCAACCCCTGGCACGCGTGCCAAACATGGCACGCCAGTAACTTTTGCTGGCACGTGAAACCCTCTCTTATAATCTTCTATTTACAATTTTTTTCTTAATATTGACTTTTTTATTTTTCAGATAAATTCAGTGTAGGTGCATCTTAGATAAATAATTTTACATAACATGTATATATTAAAAAATAAATGTATTTTTCATCATCATATACTGTGTTTTTGTCGCTTGAATGAATTTTATTATTTCTTCAAGGTTTTTCACATATATACACCTTAAGAGATATCAAATAGGCATAACATGTTCTCAAAAAATTAGGGTTGGCACGCAGAAGAATTTTGAGTCAGAGATTTTGCTGGTTTTGGTACGCACTCACAAAAAGGTTGCCCACCCCTGGACTAAACTCTTGAACAAATATTTCATTTATGATATGGGAGTAGTTGTCCAACTTCACAAATTCATATTAAGGCATGGCTTTTATGAAAGCAATTTTAAAATTGTTAGCTTTGAATTTCACTCTAAAAATACATCAAAGGTTCTTTTTGTTGGAATAGTTATACTTCTAAAGCTTATAAGGTTTTTAATTTTTAGATGATTTTTTCTAAACATGAGCCCTAAAGATTGTTATTCATTATCAAACAATTATAATTATAGGCAATGCTACCCAAAGTTGAAGTCTCAGCCATCTAAAATTTTGAATTTCTGATAAAACTTCATCAGCAATAAAATTACAAGTGATTTCTGCTGAACAAATAGAAAAGTTTAAAGATTAAGGCAAGAAAAGTCTTTGTTCAAATTTTTGTGTTTGGTCTTAGGAGGATATTGAAGGTTATTGGAGTGTAGGAATTCCAAGAACTTAGCTTATGTATGAAATAAAAAGAAGAGAGAAAATAAGAAGGAAGGTAACAGGAACAAGAAGCAATAAAGTTCCTTGATCAAAGTCTCTGGGGGACTTACACTACCTAAACTACTGAAGTTACGAAACAGACATTTCCCAACCTTGCTCAAGCCTCTCAAACTATGTCTGTCATATTTTACTTTTACATACTAATCTAATTTTAGGACAACTTGTAGAAAAGCAGAATAAATATTTAACTTTAATTGTAACATTATTTCATTCGTCTTACTTGCTTTCCTTTTTTTCTTTTTTTCCTTTCCTTTCAAGAATGTGAAATCGACACCAGCTCCTCCATGTGGGTTTATGTTTTCCTGGGGAACCTTCTTCGTGGAATTGGAGAAACTCCTATTCAGCCCTTAGGCATCACCTACCTTGATGATTTTGCCAGTGAAGACAATGCAGCTTTCTATATTGGTAATGCCCACCTCATTTATCTTCTCAGAAAGCAGGGTACCTGGTTTTCTCAATTCCATTCTAAACTAAATTGGATGTGGAAGGCTTTTTACTTCATACCCAAATCTTTTATTCAGTTCACACATTTCTGAAGTCCACAGTCAGGATTTGAATAGTAAAGAAACTTCAAATAGAGGACTCTATTGCATTAGGGAAAGAACATCAAATTAAAGGAAAGTAATTGAGCTCCAAGGCAATGATATATGACCTTGTGTAAGTATCTTCACAGACTTCATGGACTGCAGAAGCATGTAGGTGACATATTTATATATCAGAGAGTCAGTTCTCATGTTATTTTCTTACTAAGAGGTAATTAATGGCTTATAAGTGTTCATTCTTCTTCCAAAGCTAAGAAGAACTTATTTCCTAATTCAATGAAGTTGAAAAATTGACAAATTGAGTACACTTAAATAAAGACTTTATAAAATATTTTCAGTTACTAACCAGTTCTCATTCCACATCTTGTTTAAGAATTTTATTAATTTACAAAAGCAAAGGTACCTTATTATTTAAGTTTTTAATTTTTTTTTATTTTTTTATTTTTTTTTTTTTTGGTGCAGGTTGTGTGCAGACGGTTGCAATTATAGGGCCGATCTTTGGCTTCCTGTTAGGCTCATTATGTGCCAAACTGTATGTTGACATTGGCTTTGTAAACCTAGGTAAGGAAACAAACGTATTGTTATTTGTTCATTTGTTTTACTGCAATTTTATAATGGGATGGGGTAGAAAATAGCAATTTGACTTTTTATAAAATGACTAGAGGCCCGGTGCACAAAAATTTGTGCACTCGGGAGGGTCCCTCAGCCTGGCCTGTGCCCTCTCACAGTCTGGAACCACTTGGGGGATGTCCACCTGCTGGCTGAAGCCCGATCCCTGGGTGATCGGGCCTAAGCTGGCAGTCAGACATCCCTCTGGCAGCCCAGGAGACCTCAGGGGATGTCCACTTGCCAGCGGGGAGCAGACCTAGCTGCAGTCAGACATCCTTAGTGCTGCTGAGGAGGCGGGAGAGGCTCCCACCACCACCACCGCTGTACTGGCAGCCGTCAGCC